TCGGCAGTGTGGAGGCGCAGCTGGCGGAGATCCGGGCTGACCTGGAGCGGCAGAACCAGGAGTACCAGGTGCTGCTGGACGTGCGGGCGCGGCTGGAGTGCGAGATCAACACGTACCGGGGCCTGCTGGACAGCGAGGACTGCAAGTAAGGACAGACTGAGGATTGTGGGATGAGGCGGATGATGGGAATATACAACACTGCAGGTGCATGCATGGTGGCTTTATTTTCAAGTTCCTAGAGCATGCACATTAACTGAGTGACTGCCATGTGCTCAGTGGTGTGACAGTCAAGCAGATGTGGACCTGGCCAAGGTGAAGGTCACAGCTGTCCCTCCATGGCTATCCATGGAGAGGTGGTGCTAGGGAGATGGACAGCCAACAATATTTGGGCGGGCAGCTTGTGTTAAATTCCATGGCAGCTTAGGAGCATGAGATAATATTTTCCAAAACAAGACAAAACTTCTGCACAAGGGATTCCAGGAGAGGGAGAAGGATTTGCTGAAAATCACAACTTCATTCCATCTAATTCCAAGCACAGACATGTCATAGGTTGTTTCCTGAAGCACAAGGTATTATGCGCACCTTCAGCTTCTCTGCCCCCCAATCTATTCTAAGCCTCTCTGTCCCTCCAGGCTCCCCTGCAACCCATGTGCCATCACCAATGCTAGCAGCAGCTCCTGTGGACCCTGTGGCAGCGGTCAGAAGCATTGTTAATTGAACAGCTGTGGCCTCTTTGAAGACATCAGTGAAGCCACTTAGATGAAGCCCGGGAAGGATCCTCAGGCCCTCCTTGGGCCAGGGCTCAGTTGCCGTTAATGCCAGCCATGATTTTAGACCCTGACGTGTTTTCCAGACCCAACAAGCAAGGATGCATATCATCAACTCCCGATGTCAGGAAAACTCCTTGGGTTCAGTGTTGAGCCTCCTCCTTTCTGAAGGTGTTCAGATCCCTGCAGTCTGAGCTTCAGGGATTACTTTCGGGCGTTTCCTGTACACACTGCAATTTCCTGCTTCCCTTTCTTCTCTGGTGTTCTTTTGAATGCATGGAGGTGACTTCATTTACTTCCCAATAAACATCATTTCTCTGGCATAGTAAACCTGCCTCTCATTCGTAGTCATGCCTCGTAAAGTACTCATCGGGAGGGCTTCGCAGAAATGTCCTTCATGAGGAGGATGAAAACGTTGCAGTGAGTGACCTTAGCTCACCGGGAGCCCTGCCAGAGAGGGTGGACGTCCCCTGTGTCTCTCACCAAAGGGACGCCATGCAGGAGCCCCAGCTGTCACCCCCTGTACCTGCCTGCTCTGGGAATCGTCCACATTGCTCTCCCCCAAAGACTGCAATTTTCTTCTCCCCTGTCTCTTAGACTTCCTAAAGTCTTGCTTCTGTGGAAATTGCACAGGGCAGCCGTGATCCTCTCCTCTCCCCTCTCTGCCGCACCTGCTCCTCCAGGCAAACCCCCGAAATCACCTCCATCGATTCCCATAACCCTGCACACCCAGGCCCTCTTGTTGCGTCTCTGATTACCCGTGCTCTGTCTTCTGATTCGCTGTGTCCCCACTTAGTGCCCCAAAAGGAGGAAACACTTGGATCCTCAGCCTCTGTTTTTCTCCTTCTACATTCTGGTTCCTCCTGGAGAATGGAAATCTGTATGTTGATGACTCTCAGATCTCACACTCACCTCAACTTCCAGGTTTTCAGTTGCCCATGGGTCAGTTTCACTTGGTGCCAGTCCATTCCCTCATATTTAATTGGGTAAAGGCTTTGTCAAACTGTTGTCCCCTAAAAATACCCTTTAAATGCAGTCGACTCTCTCTTCTTACTTTTCCCCTCTTGAGGATTAGTTCTTCCTTTTGGTCTTTGCTTATGTCTATAATGTTCTCAAACCTCTTTCTCAGGTCATTTCTTGCAGTTCCAAGAAAGGCCAAGGTTCCCGAAGTATCTCCCAGGAAATGCTAATTCTACAGTGTCTTCCCCCACTTCCCTCATCTTTGATTTTTAAAGCTGCCAAATATGTAGAGCACAATTTCAGTTATGCACTCCATGTAACCCTCACTGATGAAACAAGTACAACCAATTATCTGTCTTCCATTTCCATTGGAAGCGCAGGCTTTGAAAATCCCAGTGTTCAACTGATATAAAATTTGTCCGCCTGCCTTGTCTGTAAGACACTCAGCAGAGATCAGATCAACACCTAATTAAAACCTCATGTAAACTATGGAAAATTGTAAATGGAATAAACAAGGAGGAGTAAGAGTAACATTAACGTATTCATGATAAGGTTATTAAAACTTTATATGCTTCCCACGGTTTCAGCTTCAAGCAACTCTTATCATGTGACATTAGCATAATTCTGAAAGAAAGTTTGATGGGAAATGTTTGAACAGACGAGTGTGTGTAAGTCAAAGAAGAGGGAAATTTTTTTCCAACTATAAATTTTGCCCTTAAGGAGGCAAGGAATCAGGAGCTATATGTAGAATCAGATTGTTCAATTTCTATTTTGGAACACAGAATAAATGTGGTAGCAGAAGAAAGAACGGCAAGACAGTTATGTAGGACCATATCTGACAGTTGCTTGTAGTTATCCTGGAGACTCTCTTTGAAGGAAGGTGGCCACGGCAGTTGTGTCTAGGCTGGGTTGTGATGGGTCCTGGAGGTTGGTAGAGTCAAGTGGAATGGAATAAAGATCAGTTAGAAGGCTGGGGAGAGGTAGCAAGGAGTGAGGTGGGTGGAGGTGGGCACAGCAGAGAATAGGTGGATTTTGAAAGCATTGCCTAGGATACAGAAGCTGACTGGAGAACAAAGAAGATGGCAGGAAGTGATTGAACATTGTATTAGCCAGGGTTCCCCAAGAAATAGAACCAATAGGCTATCTATCTATCTATCCACCCAGCCATAGAGATAGAGAAAGAAATTTACTGTGCAGGATTGGCTTGTGCCATTACGGAGGCTGAGAAACCTCACAGTCTGCTACCTGCTATATGGTGGTCCAGAAAAGCTGGTGGTGTAGTTTTATTCCAAGCCAAAGTCCTGAGAACCAAGGGAACCAATGGAGTAAGTCTCGGAGTTTGAAAGGATCAAAATTGGAGGGCAAGAGAGGATGGATGGCCCAGCTCAAGAGGAGAGAAGGAATTCAACCTTCTTGTGCTATTTTCTTCTGTTTGGGTCCTCGATGGAGTAGACATTTCCTGCCCACACTGGTGTGGGTGACCTTCACATGTGATTTCTCCCAGAACACCCTCACAGACACACCCAGCAATGATGTTTTATCAGGAATCTGGGCATCCCCCAGCCCCATCAGATTGGCGCATAAAATTCAACCACCACAAATACCTATTATGGGTCTGAAGATTTGGAGCCTCAGAGAACGAGACAATAGTGGATCCACGGTGGAGGGATCTCGACTGGGTTTGGAGGTGTTAGAGAGTTACCTATACAAAGATGGTAGGTAGAGCTGGAGGAGTTAGAACTGTCCAAAGGAAGATGGCAGGGTACAGAAGAACTTTGGTGGTCACTGATAGAAATGACTGTGCTGACCTGGGACCAGAGTCCTTGACACGACCTTCATCCCTGGTTTTGCCAGGTCTTTAAGGACGGGGTGACATCTGGGTACAGCAGCTGCAGAGGGAAATGGAGAAGCAGCCTAAGAGATAGTGAAGGAAAAGAAGTTCAGGTTTCAATGAGGAAGTGATCAAGAGCATCCAGGCCAAGGAAGGTGAGAGTCAGGCAAATCTCCTGAATATAGAAGGGGGCGATGTCTGGTGACTGTGAAGGGCAGGGCCTGTGGGGGGCTGGGGGAGGAGGCCACATTTTAGTAGCTTGTTCGTGTCTGTCTCAAATTACCAGCTCAAGGGTGAGCTAAGGCAATGGTTCCCCACAATACATTCACAATAAGTATGCAGCCTACTTTACCTTATTCTCTGTGGACTGCTGATAAACATTTTAGCATCTGTTCTTTCCCTTGATTTGCAGAGCAGGGTATAGAAATAGACCTTCCTTCCTCCTCTGGGAGGTCCCTGAGCCCAGCTTTTCCTGGCAGCCTAGCACCAGGAAGTTACACTGTCCTGAGTTGCTTCATATTCCTCGCTTTTATTTTAGACTAAGTGGAGTTAAAAACCTAGCATGGTTGGACTTTGCATTTTTCTCACTTGCCTTGGTCCCTGGCACTCCCCAAACTCCAATCCCAATACCTCATGGGCTGAGTGTGAAGTAAACAATGGCAGCTCTGGAGGGAGTTTGTGGCAGGAGCCCTGAAGCCCATTTTGAGGCACCTCTATCTGATTTTGCTCAGGCACTGGCTCCTGTTAGGATCTTAACTGTCCTCAACGCCAGTGTGTTAGAGGATTGGTCTCAGAATGATGCTGTTGGAAGGGGATGGAATCTTCAAGAGGCACGGCATTGTGGGAGGCTTTTAGGTCACTGGGGGCGTGCTCTGAGGGGGCTGGTGAGACCCCGGCCTCTTCCTTGTCTTTCCTTTGGCTTGCGGACTGAAGTGAGCAGAGTTGCCTTGCCTTGCAGTAGTCCAAATAACAGGGCCAATTGATCATGGGCTGATGCCACCAAAACTGTCAGCTCAAATAAACCTTTTCTGTTTATAGGTTGATTGTCTTAGGAACTTTGTTGTAGGAATAGAAGGCTCATTAAAACCTTCTCTTTCTACCTCCTGGCACATTCTTGAGCTCCTCCACTGCTGGTTCCTTATTGGAAACTGTTGAACAAAGACAAACCTGATAGCACTCTTGTCCTGGCTTTGCTATTTGTATACATTAACATATAATTAAGATATAAGTGACATATAACTAATCAGTGAGTAGCACGATAAGTTCCTTTGCGTTTCCAAAGGAACGGATTTGACATTTCTCCTGGTGAGAATTTCCAGCACTAGGACCTGGCCATGATGCAAGCTATTGGAAGGAGCTCTTTGTTACAGGGAGGATGGCCTCAGCAGAAAATCTGAGTCCTGTGGGTGAGGTTGTGTGTGATCTCTCACACGGGTGCAGCCTTGGCTTCCATCGTAAACAGGATCCTTAGACCTCAAATGCTCTTTGTTGCTTACACCTTGAGACCAGAAGCCTCAACTGTAGCGTCGGCCACAATTACAGGCAGTTGTAAAACCTTCCGGCTAGTTGGAATTTGATTTGTTTATT